AAAACAAGTATTTCTCTGAATGAACAAGTAGAGATGAGAGGCTGGTATATGAAGGAATCTTCCCTTCTCCTAATTACAGAACAAATGTCAAGAGATTGCATTCTCTTTTAATGCTAGTTTGACAAAACCGCATATGCTTTCAGAAGACCCTCAGTGTGCCTCGTTGTCAATATAACACAGCAGGAAAAATATAATTTCTGGTATGCATTTCCTAGTTTGTTTTCTTCTTTCTTAACATGCAATTCCTGTAAAAAAAGTAAAATGAATCCTATCCAGCATTAGGGTGGCCATACACTGTGCACATTTTGTCCAGTTCTTGAGCAACCACAGTGGGTGCCGCTGTCGGCACCCTTTTGGCCGGCATCCCTCGGTCAGCTGATCGAAGGAGCCAGTTTACAAATCTTCGCACCAACAGAGCCGGCAGCCAATGATCTGCCGACTCTGTTTGGGTATTCTGACAGTGGCCGGCGGCCGCTGTCAGCATAAGATGCAAACAGCAGGGATTCCTCGATCGACACACTCGTAGTGTTGATGGAGGAATCTGCTCTATTCGTTTCGTTCAATGAGAAAAATAGACCAGTGTATAGCCAGCCTTAGTTTTACAATCAGAAGGTTCACTCAGTTACCTTAATATGAGTTCTCTGGAATCCACACAATTAAGAATCTAGAGAGCACTTCACGTGGCTACTGGGAGTGTACTTCTAGAGTTCTACTGAGAGCAAACAGAAAAGTCAGGCTAACTAGTTGTTCTGGGTCGGGATTGCACTTTTGAGCCTATTCCTTTAGAAATGACTAACAAAATCAACAGTGGCAGCTCCTATAGGGAGACAGATCTGACGACAATTCCATTGTTGGCTCATGCCTTAGTTGGTAATTTTCAGAATAGATTCAAACTAGCGGGCTTATGACAAAGCTAAAATGCAAAGTGTAGTGACCCATACAAATCAAATCTGTTTTTCATTGTGGCCAGTTACTAGGTCTAGTGATGATCATGCATGGTATGTGGATCTAGTCACTTGTGCTAAGTCACAGGGAAGGGGCAACATCTTGTGAGGAGTGTAAAAGGGATCAGGTGCCTTTACTACAATCCCGATCTCTTTATGTGAAATCTGTCAAAATGTTAAATAGTAAAGACTGCTAATAGTGACTGTGGATGTGTTGGGTTTTAATTTTTTTCCCCTCTGAAAAAGTAGAACTCGATGGACTTGTCTTTTTTAAAGTAATAACTATGCAAGTGCTGCCGCTATAATAGTTCTGGGCATTAGCCAAGTTTTTTTTTTTAGCAAGTAATTTTTTATTGATTTTTCAACAGTATAAACTTACAAAGCGGGCTTAATCGCAGAGTTACAACAGTGTCAGCGACTAAAAGTCCTCTAGGGCATGGTTAATTAAGAATACATTACATCATGTAACAGAACACAAAAAAAAACCAACAAACAATAAATAATAAAGTACAAATGAGTTCTCAGCAGGTCAGCAAACCCCTTGCAGGTGCCCTGGGGAGTCAGAAGGTCTTTTACCGTGTGAATGCCCTTGGCTTGCCATTGCAGAAAGACCATAGCCAAGTTTAAAGGTGTTTGCATACCTAGGAGTGTGGTTGGAGGTTAAAGAAGACCTTTAAAATAGCAACAAACACACCTTTTTAGAAATGTTTAGTAATGACAATCTACAAACACATACTGCTAGATAACTGCCAGCTTTGTATTCTTTGCATTCCTTATTTCTCTTTTCTTTCCCAGTCTTCTCACAGTGGCTGTGTTTACTAAGGGCAGATTACTAGCTCTTCTATTACTTCCTGGATTACTGGCACATGTGACTAGGACATGTGACCAGGACATGTGACCATGCACATAATCTGGGGGGAGGAAAATACTTTTGCCTGAGATCTCGTGTGATTACAGATGAGATTTCCCAACAATGCTCTGCTGATGACAAGGCATTCCCAGTGTGCATTGCTTTGCCAAACTGAAGTTATTTGCCCTTTCAAAGCAGGAAGTGAATGCTCTGCAAGTTTAAGTATTTCATAATCAGAACATTTTACACCTGACATGTCTATGTTATTAATCATCATACATAGAGGGATGCAATGGTAGAATTTAATTTTTAAATGTAATGGTCAGCTTTAAGCCGTTATGCGACTGCTTTTAGACTTTTTCATTAAATCTATGTATAGCTCAACCAGTTGCTCACATTTATGTCTCTAGGTAAGCACAGGCTGATTTGTAAAGGTGCAAGTATGATTGATAGGTGTTTTCAAACCTATTCAGTAGATTGTATTCCTCTGCGGAAACGTTCAGCTGGTTACATTGACAATAGACATGAAAAGGTCTAATGGAAAACAGGTGGCGAAATCTCTTGTATTTAGTACAATGTGACAACCTTTTTTGTTCTCACTGACTTCTGTTGCTATTGTATTTAAAGTAGAATTAAAGCAAGCAGTAGATTTATGCAAAAATATTTTTTAAAAATAAAATAGCTACCAAATAGGTAAAAACTTTGTCTCTGCCGCTTGCTCCCAGCTGTAAAATCCAGCGTCTCGGGTGGCTGTGCAGGAGGATGAGTGCGGGTGCATGCGGAGTGGAGGTCACCAGCGGGGAGAAGAGGAGAGACACAGTGGAGGTGAATGCACGCAGCTTTGAGTGTGCACGCCGAACAGACACCGTGGGACACGAGGAGTCTGCGCTGGATCTGAGACTGGCACCAGTGCTGGAGGGACTCCTGAAAACCACTGGAAAGAAGATGATCGGATCAAGAGGCATCACTTAAGGTAAGTCTTTATATCAGCATTAGGGGAGGGTGTGTGGGGAGGGGAATGGGACTTTAATGTCACTTCAATTTATGTTGTAACAGCACATTACATAGTGTTTTGGGTTTAACAGCAAAAATTGAAAAAATGTTTGAGTGTCCTTGCTTATTACCATTCACAGAAGTGTGCCCTCCCAGCTTAAAAATCCTTCTGTAATGCAGTCCTGGTGGATGTTGACAATGCCCGACATTGTTTCGTTGGCAAAACATTTTGGATCCTAACATACTTTGCAATAATGTGCTATTCGATATTTGTTATTGAAATCATTAACCAAATCGTCTGCTATTGATATGAAAAGAATGACATCTGTATTTGCACTTTTCCTTGTGCCATCATAGCCATTAACAAATTGTTTGTTGTCCAGTGTATTCCCTAAATGTTTCCCTGGAGACCTGTTTTAATGGAATGTTGAATTTTTTTTTTCCCACTCGCGCACCCCCATCTCATGTAGTCCACAGACTTTCATTGAAGAATGCTTCCACGTTCTTGACATTTCTTGCCAGCTGAACACCATTCATGGGAAGAAAAGATTTGAATGCAGGGGGCAAGCGCTGTATATTTTTCATCAGATTAATATCCGGTTTGAGCAGAGCCAAGTGCTATTTCAAAATGCAGTCTGTGTTTGCTAGTATCTCTTTAGCGGCACCACTCTCAGATTGCAAATCTTTTTTTGGCTTTGTGTCTCAGGCCCAGCATTTTACCTCCAGTGCCTAGTGTCTGGATATTCAGACTGGCTGGCATGTTCTTCCGGACAACCTAAATCAAAAGCTCTTTTCAATCAAATTATTCTCCTTTTAACAAATTTTTTTTTTCCTATTTGCAATTTGGTAGTACTCATTTTAAAACGGAAGTTTATATTTGACCTAACTTGGCTCCTCTCATCCCTCCTCATCAACCTTTCAATGACATTTTAAAATTAAAGGGTAGGCTCACTTTCTCACAAACTGTAAGGAGATTAACTTACTGACACCGCGCCTCCTACTCTCCTGGCCCCCGCTGCACATACCTGTGTGATCCACGGATTTCTCCAGGCTAAACTGCGTGTATGGATGAATCTTCCGCTGTGCCCTTTGTATTTGCACACCCGCCTCTGTTAGAATACTTGAACAGTGACGGCAGCCGATTGGCTGCCATCACTATTCAGCCAGGCAATTTTCCATCCAGCTCCTTCAGATTTTTGATTTGAAGGATCCTGAGTGGAAGGGCGCCTACAGGAGTGAGAGAAAAACAATCAATGCCCCCATCTGTATTGAACAGCGTGGATGGAGAAATCTTTCCTTCCAGCAATTGTATTCAGACAGCCCAAAACTAATATGATGTCACTGGCCAACGATTTTTAAATATTTTTTTTTGTCAAGGCGGGTCGTGCATGTACAATGGCGAAAATCAAGCCATATATGGACCACTCAAGTTTCAGCGTCACTTCCTCAGGTCTGTAAATGGGCATTACAGCAATGTAAGGAAAAGATAGGGAGCCTAAAGCTTCACATATTAGCTCACATTAAGGAAAATGATTAACATGCAATATCATATATTTACCGTACCTAAGTTTGCCTCAGTTGCTATGCTATATAGATTAAACAGACGGTCATCCAATGCTAATTTTTGCTTTGGTACCCAGCTGCAGAAACAAATACTTAAAAATGATTGATTTGTGCTTGCACAACCAACCTTACCACCTTCTATTGTTTAAGGCCAGTTGTGTAGAAATTGTCTTGACACTTTAGGTAAGCCATTCTTGTTTGATTATTGCTGACTCCATAATTCCACAGTGGCTTTTCAGGCAATTGCTTTTCCTTCATTTAGGACTGTATGTCGTTATGATGTGTCAGAGTATGCAGAATCAGAATGTAAGAAGTTATACATTAGAGGTCACTTCTGATAAACGGACTGTAAAACATGTACTAAGAGAAATCTGTTTTCTATCATTGCCTCCTTCTAAAAAAACTATTTGCCTGGCTAACGGTCTCCACTTAAAGGCATTGACTTGGAGCTATTACACAGCTACTGAAGTTGGGGCAGGAGGTCAGACCTTGCACTAATTACATGTTGGGGGTCAGTAACAACCAATGAACTGGCATTTTCAGGAAAGGTCAAAAATGGCAGTTCATACTTAAATACAGGTCTTCTGTAATGTAAAATACAGGAGATTAATTGCTACATAAAAGTGATTTCTTCTCTCTCTCATTTGCAGGTGTGTTAATTGGGCACACTCCACTTTTTGAAGGTAAGCAAGAAAAAAATCTAGGGTTATATTGTATACAGTGGTTTTATATTTTTTCATATTGACAGCATAATTGTTGCATTTAATTAAAGTTAAAGGAGAACTATGAGGTGAGTGCTTTTCACTCACCTCATAGTTCTAGCCGACCTGTGACAATGAGACTAAATACAAAGCCTGCCGTGATTGGCTCAGTACTGAGCCAATCACAGTGAGGACATAAACAAATTTTCAGATTCAGCCTGACAAATTCTGCTGCGGGAGTTTCGTTGCGGTTCCATTTATTTCAGTGGATTGCCTGCATTTGAATATGCTGTACAGCAATGCCCCGCTTTCCAGTGCGATTGCAAAAAATTGTACATGCAGTTTTATTCTTTCTAACATTACATATGTGTATGTTATTTTATATTAAAGGAGAACTATGAGGCAAGTGCTTTTCACTCACCTCATAGTTCTAGCCGACATGTGACAATGAGACTGTCACAGGTTGGCTCAGTAGATCGGGAGGTGAGCGAACACATACCGGCGTTCGCTCACCTTTCGATCCTGTCATGGCTCTCTGCCGTGACAGGGGAGGGGCTGGATTCCCCCCTCCCCACTCCAATCCGCCAGCGCTTACTGACGGAATGGACGGGGGAGGGGGCGGGTACAGCTGGCTCTATATAGGTATTGTCGGGATCCACTTCAGCTGCGGCATCAGTATACCGCGAGCTACTGGTTGCAGCCCTACTGAGCCCTAAAACATATTTTAGGGTTTTGTTGGATAACTCCAATGATAAGATCAGGGATAAGTGGCATCCCTGTCTTGTTCCTTCAGACAGGAAATCTATTTGAATCCACAGTATTTTACAGAAGCTTGAAGGGCAAAGAACAGGTAGGACCAAACAATGGAGGCTGGAGGGTAAGCTATAGGGTTATAGGGACACAACTGCCTCTCCCCCACAACTGCCTCTCCCCCACAAAGAAAGTATGTAAATGTTGTCACCATATCAACCAGGGATAGAATATAGGTTTTTTAAGATGGGTAATGCCCACCTGAGGGATTTGGCCTTGGGTAGGTCTAAGCCCTGGACTGAAGCTCTCTCAGTAGATGATATAGATTCCCAATAGGATAACAGTAGTCAGTTCAGGCAACATATTGATGCATGTTAAATCACAGTGTTGTGTATTTAGTCCCCTAGAAAAGATCTGTGAAGTAACCTCTGGTGCGAGTTTTGTAGATGAGGGATCCTCAGAGTAGTGTTACTGCTTTACTAAGAGACCTCTGCAAGTTTGAGAATGTTGCATTGTGAGATTGCCTTTGGAGGTGGCATTCTGAGCGAAGAAAATCCAATAGCAGAGAAAGGTCTGGGTAAAGGCCCCAAAAAGGGGGTAACAAGTAGGGTTTTGGTCAGGAGTAAGTATAAGAAGCACTAGGCTTGGGATACGATAGTGAGAGGAGTCGGCAAACAACAGTTTTGAATGGAGGGCACTTGTGGTTCCCTGGTTTTGGATCTGCTGGAGTCTCGAAACAGTACTGCTCTCCTGGTAATTCTGCCATGGTGTTTAGGGTAGTAAAGTAGACATGAGTAGGAGGATAGAAGCAGTCCTATGAAAGGTGAAAGGGATATCCCCAGCAGTAGGTTGCACTTGCACATTAGAATTTTTCCAGTAGGGGCTTAAACATTTGCCTCATCCAGAGTGTGTGTTGCAATAGGTTTGGTGGAATCTAGATCTAACCCCCATCAAACTCTATTGGACCTTTTCAGCCAGACTTTGCACAGTACTAACTCTTTAATGTTAAAAAGATGAACTTGGCAGAGTGTGTCTCAGTCTAGCTGGGTCAGGTTGTCGAAGGGCCTAAACTGTGTGGACTTTGTCAAATTCTATTTCAGTGGTAAGGGGGTGATCTACCACATTGTTAGGCACCACCATCTCTGTAGCAGGAATGTCAGGGCCTGTGGTAGCTTCCAGGATATCTAGGCTTTCAGTTGTTCCTCCTGCTTCTGTTCTTTAAATCGTCATGCAGGAGTTGGAGGAAATAGATGTTAATTCTGAAAGTATTGCCTTGCCCCAATGTAGATTACGTCAGTATCTTAGAGGGTTCCTTGAATCAAAAGATAGTAACCTGACTGGTCTGAGATTTATTACTGTGAACGTTGAGGCCTTTCTGAACGGCTATGAGTGCCTCTCTGTTTTGTGGGGGCGTTAGCCTGGAATGTTTGGGGGAAAGTAGAAGATTAGGAATTTTGGGGAGGAGATAGAGGAAAGACAATGACTGAAGACAGTACACTGTATGTATTGATTTAAGCATCTTGGTCCTCCATAGTGGTGGTTTAAAGCCCTGTATATCCAGGGATATTGTGTTAATTCTAAAGTTTGCAATGAGAGGGTAAAATGATTGATACACCCCTAACTTTGAGTGAGTCAGGAGCTAACCTAGGAGGGGGGAGAAGAATAATAGAAAAAAAAAAGGCTGGGGGCAAGGGTAGAGGCACATACAAAAGGGGAGCAGAAGGAAGGAATGAGTAAGTGTAGGTGAAGTATGGTGCATAATATACATATCATATATGAGGATTCTCTGCCCTGTATGATACGGGTTGGGACAAGTGAAGGTTTAGACTTGGGAGCAGTAAAAAGGCTTCAAAAGTTCCAAGTCTCTGGTCCAGAACAAGTATGAGGTTAGGAAAATCCAAGATCAGTGACTTGGAGATTAAGCAGCCAGGCAACTAGCGTTGTTTTAGAAAGCAAAATCGCCAATGGTAGCTTCTATGCTTCTTTCATGGCAGTTCTATTCTTCTTTCATGGTGTTATCTGTATCAGGACATATAAGCATCTGGACTAACTCTGGTCTTATCCCTTGCAGTGGGGCTCACCCCGCACTCCATGGGTTGCGTGCTAATTTTTGTCTAGGAATTACATATTTTTTTTTTTTTACTAACCTGAACCTCTGAGACAGCTGGCTGCTAGACTGGTCCCTGCAGCCTCTCTCCCCATCGCTCCGGGGGTTTATGGTCCTGTGAGTCAACACATCCTATACATTGTATAGGATGCCGAGGGACATTCCATCACTGAAGCCGAGGAGGCAGGCTGCAGGAACAAGTCTAGCAGCCAGCCAGCTCAGAGATTCAGGTGAGTATATATTTTCCCAAGATAAAAACTAGTAGGGCTACTTACTCTCCTAGAGCGAACACCCCGAGATACAGGACAGCTGATTTTCTAACCCGATAAACAGGTAGTTTTTGCACTTCTCAAAACCATTTCAGTTGTATATTTAGCAGACAAAAAGGAGTAAATAAAAGATGTTCATGGTTAGGGTTTACATGCACTTTAAATCTCACGATTGGTCCTTGAATACCTTGGGGGTGGTGATTGTCCAGACAAGGGGGCGGTGATTGTCCAGACAAGGAGGCAAGACTTTATAAGAGGCGCTTCAATTTGCATCTAGTTTTAGCAGTCTAGATAGCAGTTCTGGATCACTTTTCTGTGTTTTCACTGGCCATTACAAGTGCTTTTGCATTTTTTCATCATAATTTTGAATTTCTATTGCCCAGGTTCTTAAAGGCCAAGTTCACCTTTTGCAAAAATGAAAGAAAGGCATATTTAATATTATAACAAAAACTATGTTTCTTTCACTTTTGCGTTCAAGCCTGGAAAGCATTGCAACGGTGGTCACTCAATCAGGGCTGTGGAGCTCAGGCTTCTGCACATTCTCATACTGGCAGAGCTCCGTACTGAGGTAGGGAGTATCAGTTAAGAGAGATGGTGAAGGACGGCTAGACGGGAATGACAGCTCTACCGCATCTACCTAGAGCGAGTAAGGCTGAACGCTGCATGCGGTGATTTAATCCAGTTTGAAGTTCAGCTGTCCTTCCCCCATCTCTCCTAACTGTAACTTCGTACCCCAGTACGTGCTCTGCCTGGGAGAAAATGTGCAGAAACCTGAGCTCCGCAGCCCTAATCGAGTGCAATGCTTTCCAGGCTTGAATGCAAAAACTAAAGAAAAGCATAGTTTTAGATATTAAATATGCATTTCTTTAATTTTTACGAAAGGCGAACTTAACCTTAATATGATCGAAAAAAGCAAAGCGCTAGGGGTAAAAATGTGCAAAGGAGCGAAGGGTAGGTTTTCGGGCAAAAACCGGTTTATAAACCTATTAGGTAAGGATGGCTCTCAGCCAATGTGAATTATGGCAACTCTGGATAGGGCTATATCCATTTTTATCGGTAGGTTTAAAATAAGTTTTGGTTTTAAAATTATTTTCGATCTTAAAAATCTCTAAATCTAAAAAATGTACCATGGATTTACTGATGCTAGATGTAAAACGTAAATTAAAATCGTTACTATTAAGGCTATTAATAAAACATTCCAAAGAGGATGGTGTCCCTTTCCAAATGATAAGGACATCGTCTATATAGCGTTTCCAGAGGACCAGTGATTTAATTGATGTATTAAAAACATACTCCTCCTCCCACTGGGCCATGTATAAATTAGCCATACTGGGGGCAAATTTAGCCCCCATGGCTACACCTTTCTCTTGTAAATAAAAGTTATTTCCATACCAAAAGAAATTTTTTTCCATAGCAAATTGGAGGCAATCTAATATAAAATCGGATTGTTTAACCTTAAGGTGTCCGTATTTACAAAAAGCCCACCTAATAGCTTTCAAACCTTTATTGTGGGGTATACAGGTATATAAAGAAGCTACATCTACAGTAGCTAATGTAATATCATTATTGATCTCTTCTGTGAGGTTAGAGAGTATTTTTAATATATCCTTATTATCTTTTAAATATGCTTCAGTCTTAATTACCAGAGGCTGTAAATGATAATCAATAAATTCCCTAACCTGTGTTTCCGGAACATACCCGCTACAATCCCCCCTACAAAGACACATTTTTAAGGGGACACGAGTCATCCACCCCAGAGAGGGAGGCGCCCTCCCTGGACATACAGAGACCAAACGGGATGGGAAGATCGTACGGAACGGAATTGGGGAGACCAAACATATATAAGGGGAAGGGGA